TGATTCCACTGGTACGATTATCCCGCCATATCCACAACAGAAGCCTCTAGACAAATACATGGTTGTTAAGCCTGTAATGCAACTTACACCCCAACTATCCACAACACTTATTTGAAGTCTCCAAATCTGAAAAAGCCAAAGACCAAAAAGAACAAAAAGACAAAAAGAAAGATGAGAAAAAGCCGAAGAAGGAGAAGAAGTCAAAAAAATTACCAAAGAAATTGACTAAAGACAACATAGTCCGAATGGTCAAAAGTGGCGATTATGTCTTAGTCGACGCCCATCGATTTGATTCCCTTATTGAGAAATCAAAGCGACTGAACAAGGCGATCCTCAAAATCATATCAGCATATGAAAAATAGATGCATATAAGTTATTGGTCAGTGTTCCTATAGTTTATTAGTTTCAATACTATTTATAGATACCCATAGAAGAAGAAATGAAACTCTACTAAAAGCAATTAAAATTGCAACTCACTGCTCTATGACAACTTCGTCACCCTTCTCTTGTTCTTGCACTTGATCTTCATCGTCGTACCCTTCGACCTTCAAGTCCATTTCTTCATCATCAAGTTTCACTATTCTTGCTCTCTCTTCTTTCTTCTCATCACCTGACGATGACGGGAGGTACAATATAGCCAGCACCATACAATAGAAATTGACAAACGCAATTGTGGTGAGGGAGACCACTGCGTTGTTTCGGTATCCCATAAAGAATACAGAAAGTAACAATGAGACATACAGTAACAGAATGAAGATGGTAAAGAGTCCATACACTTGGACTCTATATCCGGTCGTACCCAATTTACGCACTTCAGAGAATGATCTGATGATCGAGAACACAAGCCAGAAGAGATAGATGACTAATAAGATCATGATACCAAGTGACACTACAATGTTCACTGGATCCTTTGACCCCGTCATAGTTGGCGAATAAATCTTTCTTGTCTTGTTATACATGAAATTGATTAAGATGAAGACAAAGAGTAATCCACACAGTAACGCTCTTGGGACGTAGAATTTCAGAGTCATTCTTTGTTTAATTGGTTTTCGAAGAGCATCGAACATAATGAGAACATAGAACATCAAGAAGCAAATGAACACGGTGTCGATGACTGAGTTGACAAACAAGTAGAATGCGTTGTCCATCAAAAACTCGTACGGGAAAAGAGGGTTGTTCTCCCAAATTAAGAACGTTAACAAGACAACAGTCCACTTCTGTTCATGACTCCACTTCTCTTGTGGAATCGATCGGTTCGCCCACAAATATACAATAGTGCACAAACAGCTGAAGATGATGAAGACAAGTCGCCAGAACAACTCAAAAATGGTATATGTACTTGTCACGTTAGTGGTTTTGAATAACATGTCCGCAACAGAGTCTTTGACATTCTCATTGACAACACTTAACTCTATTAAGTAGATTGGATAATCTAAGTATATCTCTGATGAGATGAATGACGTCTCACATTGCATGTTTGAGGCTTTACAATGAACCCTAGTCTCTATGGTCTTGTCCTCTATTTTCTTCACCTTTTTCGGGTCGATCACTTGATTGGGCTGATTTAACACAGAAGTGCCGTACAATGTATATTTGAACTTCACTGTCCCATCAACTACCATATCACGCTTTGTATTCTTCTTCATGAAATAATACTCAAGACGACTCTCTTGATTGAATATACTGTATGGCCCTAATTGAATCGTTATTTTGTTCGACTTCTCGAGAAGGTCGATACCTTTGCAGTTCTTTGAAAATGTACTGTCGGCGCCAGCACATCTCCACGACGACATCGTGAACCATTCCCACGGACGAGGCGCGTTAAAGGAGACAAACAGCGAAACGCCGACCAACGACCCAAACACAATAAACAGGATGAAAAATCCAATTTTGGAAATCGTTGTGAGTAAGAGTCGCTGCTCTTTGTTGGTGTTCAAAATGCCGGAATTGTTCATTAGAATTAAAAGATTTTAAGATCGTTTCTCTTTTTTTATGACTAAAGTAGAAAGATATGTATTTTGTATTTTTTGGTAAAGACGTTGTTCTTTTTCTCGACGTTCTGTTACAATTGTTTTAATTTGGTTTTGTTATCATTTAAATGTCATTCGATTGAAACCCTCCATTTTTTAAAAGTTTTACAAAGTGTTAAATTACAATCAGAATATCGTGGCTTTAAAAAAAATAAAATGTCGTATTATTTTAAATTATAATTTTAATAGTTTTATTCTTATTTCAAATATACTATTTTATTTACTTTTAACTACTGTAAATAATATTATACTTACTTAACGTGTAATCTTTTTTTTAATAAAGTCTGTTTTGTATTTAACGATATTCTTAAAATATATAACAAATTAAAGAACTAGACCGAAACTATTAAACTATAATTTACTATACTCAATATCGCTAATTAAAAACCATTAACTATTAATAAAATTGTCATAAATTAAAACTAATGATAAACAAATCCTAAGCATTGACTATTTTCCAAATCACTTGTTGTCGTCTTCAATTCGACCCAAATGATAAATTGACATGTCTGCTCTATCGTAATTGACATTATATTCATTTTGAATGGACTAGTTGACTCGTTTATTTCTTCGTAATCACATTTCAAGACCAACATATCATTCGTTTTGGTAAATTTTTCAGTTGTCAAGCCATTTTGTTATTTTAAAGAACACTTTTATTAAAAAAAAATAAAAAAATAAAATACAAACCATTTTTTTAAAAAACCACTCTATTTTTATTATAAATTATAATACTGTTATTATAATCCATAGTAAAAACCCATTTCATAAAATTGAAAACAGACTTTATTAATATTTAACACTTTAAATAACATTGAACAAAATCA